ATTATTGTAGATACCTAATAAGCGTTGCTTAGTTAAAACTGAGATATTGTCTATTCCAGGAGACGAATTATTTCTTTTTTTACAAGATTTTTGCAACTCTTTCATTGTAAAAGGTTTATTTAGCATATTGGTTTTTTTGTTAACCCAATTCGGACAAATTTTACTATGGAAATGTTCTGTAGAGTAATCCTACTCCATTTGATGTATATTTGCCCGTTTTCTGTTTTTGAGCCTATTTAATTTAGCCCAGACGTCTTTCTTTGGAGTATTTTTGTTCAAACTTTAGCAATATGATTTCCAACTAGCCCTTTTTACTTCATTTGTAATTCTTTTAACGATGGTATCTTGATTTTAATATTTATTAAGGTAATCCAAATTTGGATTCTCTTTATACTTACTAAATAACTGTTTGCATTCCGCCTTCCTAACTGTTTCCTAAGTAAATGATTAATTTCCGCCCCTTTTTGGTATAGCTACGGTAGCTGCTTCGTTTATATCTTCTAATAATTTGTCGTAACTATCGTCGATAACACCTCGTAACAAGGGGTGGTTCCCCTGTGTTTAAAAATACAAGATTTAACGAGTTTATTCCCTCTAAGAGGTTTCTTGCTTAGAAATCTTCTAGATTTGATCCAAAAGTCGGATGATGCGAATTAAAGTGCCCACCAATTATATATGGTTTTGGTATGCTATTAAAAAAAAATAAGAAATTGTATCAGTCAAAGACGTAGTATCTCTTATAAAAATACGAAGACTAAGATGGGCAGAACATCTGACAAGATTACAGCAGAACAACCCTCCTAGAAGAATCCTTATGTCACAACCTGTGGGAAGTAGAAGTAGAGGTAGGTCAAAACTCAGATAGAGGGATGGTGTAGATGAGGATGGTAGAAAATAGGCGCAGCAAACTGGCAACAGTTGACAATGGATAAAACTGACTGGCGTAATAGACTTGGGATGGTCGAGGCTCTTTTATAGGGCTGTAGCACCGATGATGATGATGATTAATGTTATTCTACTAAACGGTTTTATAAAGACTGAAACAAGATAAACTTTTTTTTTAAATTGACCAATCGGAACACACACACACACACACACACACACACACACACACACACACACACACTTAGCCATAATCTTTTCCATTTGTAATGAATCTATGTCAAAAAAACTCATTTCATCTTTAACTAAAATTGCTACACAAGCTCTTCCATCTTCTCTAACTAAACGCGGACAATTGTAACCTTATTATAATAAATGTTTGGTTTAAACTAAGTGTCTGAAAGGAAGCATCCTAAGTCCATTATTATTTATGTTCTATATTGCATGTTGAATAATATTGTTGTATATTGTTCAAGAAAATATTCATTATCAACAATATCATAAATTTTGAAAAATTATTTTTTTTAGTTCACCATTTATACATGATTTCTGTTAAAAATTTGAAAACTAGAACATATTGTTTACCATATAATGTAAAATGTATAACTATTTGTATATACCTTCTTTATATATATTGTGTTTATTATATATCGATATCGAAATAAAAAAAGCTCACCTCATGAGAAAATTCATCTATTACAAAAAAACAGTTTTGCTTTACCACGTAGTTAATAATCACCCTGTAGAATTCGACATATACAAACCTGGAGAATAGCCTTGCCTATATTTTTTCTAAATAAGTTTCCTGGATAATCTACACCATAATGGAATTATCAACCAATGTCGTACAAAAAACTCACCCTGTATAAGGAAAAAACTTTTTAGATACCTGGATAATTTTCAAGTCCTTAACATGTCTATATTAATTATGTCCTTCAGCTGATTCAAAAATCAATAACTGCCCATTTGCTAAACATTCCTCACAACCGTTTTTGCGGTGTTTAGCACAAATGACTTTGTTGCAGCTAGTACATGAGGTTTCGTGTATGCTGTGCACGTTATCGTTCGTGACATTACTTTTGTTCTCTATTTGTTTAATATAATTATACTCGCTGAATTCATAAGCATATCTTGCCAAGTTTGAAGCTATATTCGAACCATTCAGTATTTTCCTTCTGATATAAGAAAATACCGAAGAACCCATGTCGTAGCCTATAATTAGTGGAATGAATGGTACTACTCCCATGTCATTATCTAAAATGCTATCCAAAACACTCGGTTCAGTAAGGTTTTCTAGAAAATAAAATATGTTAACTTATATGTAGATAGAAAATATTAAATTAGACAAAAGTACAGATATAAAAGCCCCACCATTTGATGCCGTGGTGATGGTTTGGTTGATAGAGGATCGTTGAAGAAGCCTCTAGAGAATAGTGTAAAGTTTACAAGAAATACAATGGGTAAAAAAGGTCTTCCCTACAGCTAAATTGCGAGAAACGGGAGAAATTCATGAGGGTCGTTGAAATGAAAAAAATTATATATCAGCAATAAAACAATGTAAGACGTAAGTTAGAAGCTGTCATTGGGCCTTATGTAAACATTAAGCAATAAAAAACAAGAAATAGAAAAATTATGTACTAAGAAATGTCGATAAGTAACCTCCTTTTTACTTTTTCTCAGAACACCATCCTAAAATAATTATATTTTGTATAGTCTTCGTAATTCTCATAATCCCATATTTATCCAGCTTTTCATTTGTTCCCTCCACCGTTTTATTTCTCAAATAATATTATTAAATGAGAGATAGACAATCGTTTTTCCCATATGTACAATTTTTCCAAACACATCAAATTTATTCAGTTGTCAAAAATATACTAATGACTGTATCGCGCTAAAACTTGACATAATGTATGTCTAAGAAATGTTAGACTTTCTGGAACCAATTCTTTTTTATTCGTTGCCTTATAAGGTTACTTATAAGACCACCAGACAATGTTTTCATATTTATTAATAAATATTTACATTAGATTGACAACTTTTAAATCACCTAAGCCATCGTTTCACTGCTGATCTTCTTCCTCCCCTTTTCCATGACACCATACGAATTGTCGTCTTCTCACTTTTATTATCAACAATTTAAACAAAGTCCCTATAGCAATAGAGTAGATCTTTTTTATCATTTGCACTTTTTATATTCCATATACATATCACCAGAGACTCCTTCAACTGACCACACTATTAGCAATAATACCAAGTGGAGTGACGCTCCCATATCTGTACTACTATTAAGAAAGTGATTGTTGTTCAACTAGATACAAATATAAAAAAGTTGGAGCACTATAATTAAATCAATAGACAACAGTCGGACAGTGCCTAGGTTTATTAGTGGACATCTATACAAATTATCCATATTGTGTCTTAATCGTGAGTAATCTTGTAAAATATAGAAAACGGATACTTAAAATTTTGTATCGTCACAAGCGTTTACAAAAAAAAATTGTGACTTCAAACGTTACCACCAACAGTTATCAACAACATATCACTTTCTTAATTTAAAATTATAAAAGAACATATATCCCTTACCATTTTTAGTTAAATATGAATCCAACAGCTCCAAAAACCATGTCACATATATATCACATAAATACAGTTTTCCAAACCGATTCCTGAATGATTAGCCCAAATATGAGAGACTAACACTTAAAACTAGTTACAAAGATTAAACAAAACCAAAAATGTTAGTTGCGACAGTACATATCGATTGTATCTATGATTAGAGATAGGGAATCACTTTTTTAGAGTGAGCGACGATTTTTGGTGGATGCGCCACGTGTAAAGAGTTAGAAGGGACATTGTGTAACCTGTGGTGGTATAGCCACGCCCCCTGACCAATGGTTGTCAAATGACGTAGCATAATCCTATCTCTGTGGATATGGATAAATTAGGCATTTACTTGCGTCGTTTTGGTAATATAGTAGGTATCCGAAATGAGACTGCTTCATTTTTTTAAAATATACGAGTTGATGTTATTTATGTATCTTTAACACATTTTCACAGTTGATCCTGACACAAATGCTTTTATCTTAGCAAGTTAAGATTTTGCAGTTTACTTAAATCGTCCTCGATTAAAAATCTTTTCAATCTTTTGACTTCATGTCTTCTTTGTATAGAGGTCACTACAAGCGTGTACTGGTACATTATTTGATAAGACCTTCTGGTGGACGTTTATTTTCAATTCGAGACCCACCCGACACAAATGCTTTTATCTTAGCAAGCTAAAATTTTGCAGTTTACTTAAATCGTCCTCGATGCACAATCTTTCAGTCTTTTGATTCATGTCTCTTTGTACAGAGTTCGCTACAAGCATACACTAGTACATTATTTGATAAGAACTTCTGGTGGACGTTTATTTTTAATTAGACACTCACAAGGTGATCCTGACACAAATACTTTATCTTAGATAACTTATTTTTATCCAAAAAGTTCCACTTGGTGTTTGCGTTGACATTCTCAAATGTCTTTAACATACATCCGTTTCTATGTTAACTGTTGTAGTATAAAAAATATCCCATTAGTAGTCAATCTGCATTTCGGAAGTCTATCGGCACTTTTCGCAAAAGGCTTAAAAAAATTGGATTTTCCGATAAATACCCACCTTATTCACTTATATTTCAAATATCTCGTTTTTAAGATAAACCATTTTGATGGATACATCATTTGAAGTGCCTAATTAAGGTGACATATTATGTTATGTGTCAACTGTTATGGAACTATTAACTATCAAAATATGACAAAGCTGCATATTTTGTAGTTTTTAATAAATTTCGTATATAATTTTATCTTCTTTAGACAATAATAAATGTTAGAGATTGCAGATAATCATAGCTAATAGAGATACAAATTACGACCAACAGTTCACGAAAAATAGGTTGAACTTTTTAAAAAATATGCATTAAACACTCCAAAGGTTATCAATATGGTTGAGATCTAAAATAAACATCATGGTAATTAATCGATGTTGTGGCAGCATGCACTACTTTTTTACATTAAAATACAAACACCTATGAATTTTGTTAAAATAATAACATATATGATAAAAATCAAATGAGGGTACATACCATTGTCGACTTTCTTTCCTTTGGATTGCTCGATATACTCTACGTATTCTTCTGAATGGATTATCTGATACCAGCTGATCAGACAAACAAGCGCAATAAAGAATAGATTGGCTGTAATACCTAAAATGGATAATTTTTATTATTACGTCAATAATATGTTCGTAAAACAAACACACAGTATTTAAACTGTACACAATATTTAAATTTATGCTGCACACTTGTAACGATGTTCTGATCGTTTAATAGTTTGAACTGTGGGAGTGTCAATATTTGCGCATCCACTTCTACAACGAGACGTCGAAGTATGATTCAGAGCGGCTATTTGCGAAGGCGTGTGAGTAGCGGAATTAGACAGTCTTGTAGCTAGCGCTCTAGGCTCCCCGACTCGCCGGTGTATTGAACCTGCGAGCCAACCCGGACAGAGAGATTTCCGTATTGAGGATCATACTCTGTCCTTAACCAAGCAGAACCCATCGGTATTGTGTATTGAACATCCGTGGGTCTGCACAGCCGAATATTTTGTTAGCGAGTGCGTTCGGAGCTTCCGCTGAATTGAAGTGGAAGCGAGTATAAGTCTGCGTGCGATCTACTTCACCTATTTCATTTCTTTGTTATTAATAATAAAATTTTTTTCTTTTATATACGTTCGCCGGGGACTTCATTCATCGCGGGATCCAGACGGGGAGTAGGATTCATTTTATTTTTATTTATTGTATATACTCGTAGAATTCTTTTATTTTTATTTTTATTGTACATAAGTTAAATTAATATATTTATTTTTATTTCAACCTGTGTTTTACTGACTCTGTCGCCCCGAAAGAGCTACCCTGCACAAATTGGCGCCCGAGAAAAAAATTAATAACATGCCTACAGATAAAGACACAGACTCAGTAACAGGTACGTCGTGGATAAACCGACTTTGCAAAGAGGAATTGCAGAGCGAGGCCGAAAAATGCGGCTTAGATCCCAAGGGAACCGTCGACTAATTGAGAGCACGACTCAGAACTTATTTTAAAAACCGCGAGGAAGCTACAAGAACAATCCCAAAAGAAAAAACTTCCAAGGAAACAGAATCCGACACACTGACCCAGGAAATTTCTCAGGGCCAGCAACCTCATGTTATTGTAGACTCAAGACACCAATCGAATATAATAAACGTCCGTACCAGAAGAGGGGCAAATGCGGATTCTGATCACTACCTGGTCGAAAGTAGGATAAGGGCTAGAATTTCAAACATCAAAAAGGAAAGAGGCTCGAAACATGAACGATACAATATAGAAGGACTCAAAGAAACAAACAAAAATAGAGAGTACAAAGAAAATATAAGCATCAAACTAGAAAACAGACCAAAACATGAAAACCTAAATGAGGAGTGGGAAGAGTGCAGACAAATCATAAAAGAAACAGCTAAAGAGGTGTTGGGCATGGAAGGTAAAGAAAGAAGAACAAGAACGAATCACTGGTTTGACGAAGAATGTCAAACTATAACAGAAAGAAAAAAACAGAGCATATCTACAGACGCAACAGAGGCAGAGAACCCGACAAACAGAGGAAGAATATAAACAACTACGTAAAGAAGAAAAGAAAATTCATCGAAAAAAGAAGAGAGAATATATCAACAAAGAACTTCAAGAACTACAAGAACTAAGTAAACCAACAGAGACAAGAAAATTTTACCAGAAACTCAACAAAAGCATAAAAGAGTTCAAACCGAGAACAACGATGTGTAAAGATAAGGAGGGTAATATATTAACAGAACAGCAAGAGATACTTAGAAGATGGACAAAACATTTTAAGGAAAAGCTTGGGGTGAATAGGACGGAGATAAACCCTGATATACCATTAGACCAAGCAGACAACAGAGAAAAGAGTCCACCAACAATAGCAGAGATTAGAACAGCAGTGGACAAATTAAAGAACAATAAATCACCGAGATCGGATCAAATATCATCGGAGCTACTGAAAGAAGGAGGAGACGCATTACTTAAAGCCATACATGAGCTGATAAGAAAGATATGGTTGAATAAACAGCTACCAAAGGAGTGGAATAGCGGCATTATTGTACCACTACATAAAAAAGGAAACCAGTTAGAATGTGAAAACTACCGAGGAATCACGCTGTTGAATGCGGCATACAAAATAATGTCCAACGTAAGGTATGAAAGACTTAGACCATACGCTGAAAAAATAGTTGGCAAATACCAATGTGGCTTCTGTAGACAGAAGTCAACAATAGACCAGATATTTGTTCTGCGACAGATCCTTGAAAAAACAAGTGAATATAACATCGACACACATCATCTCTTCATAGACTTCGAAAGCGCATATGACAATATAAACCGAGAATTCCTAACAAAAGCAATGAAAGAATTTAATATACCAACACAGCTAATAGAATTGATAAAAGAAACACTAAAAGTAGAAAGTAAAATCCGGATACAAAACGAATTAACGGAAACAATAGATGTGAAGAAGGGACTACGCCAGGGAGACGCTCTATCATGCATATTATTCAACATCATACTTGAAAAAATAATAAGAGACACAACAGTTAATACCCGTGGAACAATAATTAATAAAAGCGTGCAAGTACTAGCATTTGCAGATTGATGTTGACATAATCGCAAGATCAAGAAGAGAAATGATAGAGGCATTCACTCAAATAGAACGAGCTGCAAAAAATAGTGGTCTTAAAATCAATCAGACAAAAATAAAATATATGCCTGCAAATAAAAACGCACAAATAAGGCAGCTGCCAAATTTAACAATAGGAGAATATAACATTGAGGCGGTAAAAAACTTTACATACTTAGGATCCCTAGTTACGTCTGATAACAACGTTGCAGAGGAAGTGAAGAGGAGAATATTTATTGCCAATAAATGTTACCATGGCTTAATTAGGCAACTAAGATCAGATAACGTCTCCAGAAAAACAAAATGCCAAATATACAAAACCTTAATAAGACCGGTACTCACATACGGTTCAGAAACCTGGACACTCTCTAAAAGGGAGGAAACGTTATTAGCCACCTTTGAAAGAAAAATCTTGCGACACATATATAAGGGCACAAAAGAAAACGGGATTTGGCGGAGAAGGCGGAGAAGGAGAAGCTTTGAACTATACAACATATACCAGGATCCGGATATCATAACACAACATCATTAAAATAGGAAGGCTACGTTGGATTGGACATGTGAAAAGAATGGAAGAAGACGAAATACCAAACAAAATATTCAAACAAGTGCCAGTAGGAAAAAGAACAAGAGAAGACCGAAGCTGAGATACGTAGAACAAATAGAAAATGATATAACAACATTAAAAATTAAAAACTGGAAAAAAAAGCACGAAACAGGTCAGAATGGAGAAGAATCCTTGAACAGGCCAAGACCCAAAAAGGGTTGTCGAGCCAGTGATGATGATGAGCAACCTCAGTTTGGGAGTCACGTTGCCATTAAGTGAATTCTGTTTAAAACTTTAACATGCTATAATATTATCAACAACAATTTAAAAACAATGTAATAACATTTAAAGGGTTTTTACCCATATATTTAGTGGCTTCACACGTGTATACCTGGTATCATCACTGATGATGAAAATAGTTATTCCGAAAACATTCTGTGATGTAGCCTGAAAGGGTTCTTTCAAATATACCTTTTTATAAAGGTATGTTTTATTAAAGTTTTTGTTATTTATGGTATACAGCTGACTAGAGGAAATTCGTTTTCCTTGAGGATTGAAATATTGATTAATATTAAATTTCGGACCCCGATTATCAGGGCCGGAAGCAAAAACAATACAACGTGGTTACCACCTCGTCTTGTTACATCAAACATTTAAGTTATTTATGCTGCAACCTCACTTAGGTTAGGTTAGGTAGTGGGAAGATCACATAGTCGATAAATACCAGCAAACTAGGAACAAGATATGCCCTATTCAGCATACGAGTGCTATTCCAAAGATGTAGAGATATAAACTGTAATGTATATACCTGATTCATTGATTATGAAAGGGCATTTGACAAAGCACAACAAAACAAACTGATCGAAGTCCTGCAAGATAGTGGAATTACTGGAATAAATCAGATTCTGGATCCCATATTTATACTGAAATAAATCAGCTTCTCAATAGACGCTGCTCATGGATTACAACTTTAATGAACAAAACAGTTAAAATTGGTAAAAAATATGACCTAGAAACGTTTGCATGCATATCAAAATATAATAGTTTACATAAAAATTTGTAAACATGTTCTAAAATGTTCATAAATATTGTTCTCTTAACTGATTTTTAACCAAATTCGTTTTTATACAAACTTGATAAGCTTGATAACGTTTTGATAAAAAATGCAAATGTAATTAATCGCAAATATAACAAAAATAATACAACTGGCTAATTTTAACCAATAAATTGTATAATTTTATTACTTTATGATGAACCATTGACCCCAAAATATCACTACATTCGATAACATCAAATAAAAATCCTTGTGTATGTTTACGAAATAATAAAATTTATTTATAATAAAAATATTACGATACTTAACAACAATAATCTTCGTGTTAAATACAACAAGGAGATCTGAAAATATAAATAAGGATATAATGGAAAATTGAAACTACTCAGACGATATCAGTTATTCTCTCTAATATTGGTGCCACTCCCAAAAACCTTCTTCTTCTTTTTTGGGTGCGGGGTCCGTATTCAGACGTTGGCCGTCATTATGTTTACAATTTCCTGAAACCTTTCTCTGTCTCTGTGGAACCACACCATTGTCTAATATGACGCAGCCATGAAAGTTTTCTTTCATGGCTTCTTAATATTAGATAAGCGTCAAGAACCTTCTAGACAACATTAAATAAGTGAATTGTAATGAAAATTTCTATAAGATCATGCAGAAAACGGTACTGCTCACGATGTCCAGATACGTAAAAATTTTTTTGGGAAATACCAGGTCGCCCATGGCTTGACAACAAGGAAAAAGTCCTCATAGAGCTCAATCCTTTTGATATTATGGATATCTGAGGTGAGTGTATTTTCCCTTACATGGAGTAAGAGCTGCCTGGATTCCATCAGGATAAAAATGATTTAAAGTCATTGATCAAATAATAGAATTAATGAAGACAGTGACTGATATAACCCAAAAAATTTAAAAGAAGCCATTATGCATTTCCTATATTTTGCCAAAAGCCTATTAAAATACAAAACAGCTAATAGGAATTATTGCAAATCTTGATCATTTAGGAGAAAAAAAAATTAGAAAAACGAGCTTCTGCAATGGAAAAATTGACAGATTTGAAGTATGCATTGTTGATAAAAGCACCCTATTTGCCAGACGTACTCTCCTTTAACTAGCTTCTCTTAAAATTTTGAATTTGATGACTGAAAAACATTGAGGATCAAGTGAAGACGTCTTAGTAATGGCACTCCTAGAATCGTTTCTTTTTCTTGATGTGCCCATCCGTTACGAATGTTGGCGATCATTATGGTAATCTTTATCTTATCAGTAGCAGCGCGGAAAAGCTGCACAGATGTTGTATTGGTCCAGATTCTGAGGTTCTTTAACCAATATGTTCTTCTTTCTGGATTTCGCTTTCCAAATATTTTTTCTTGCAGGATGGCTTGAAAGAGAGCATATCTGGATTCATTTCACACAATAAAGGTTGATTCATTTAGAGGTACTTTTTGCAACAATTAAAAAAAATGAAAAAAATAAATTTATTTAAAAATATTTAATATCATCCAAAGAACCATTCTTTACAATTACTTCTTAAAGATAATTTCTTTAAATGTTGGCCATGACTACGATTAAGTTGGTTCATTCTGAAGTTTCAATTCTCGTTAACTCGTTCCAGCATTTCGATTGGTATTTCACCAATAACTCGAGTAATATTGGCCTCCAATGCCTCAATCGTATCTGGTTTATTCATGTAGACTTTGGACTTTAGGTAGTCCCAAAAGAAAGAGTCTAGAGGTCAGATGTCACAGGATCTGGCGTTCAATTCACTGGTCCAAAGCGTGAAATAATTTGTTCACCGAATCGTTCTCGCAGTAAAGATGGGCTGTATGGCAAGTGGCCATGCCAACCAAATGTCGGCGAGACCACAAGCTTCAATTTCGGGTACCATAGTCCGTTATCATAGCACAATAACGGTCTCCATTCACAGTAACATTCTGGCTGGCCTCTGTTTTAAAGAAATAGCAACACTTAAACCTCTTTGGGTTGTTCATCACCCCAAATACGAGAATTTTGTTTAATAACGTACCCATTAAGCCAAAAAAAGACCTCATCTGACAATAAACTTTGTTTATAAAAACAGTGGATCTTCTGAAAGCTTATCAAGAGCCCATCGACTGAAACGGCGACGACTCAGAAGGTCAGTCGGCTTCAGAATTTTGTATGGTTTTAAACCAAGATCCTTACGTAAAATACGCCAAGTGGTTGCATATGACAAGCCAAGCTGTTGAGAACGGCGACGAATCGATTCTTCATTATTTTTGAGTACACTATCCGTTACCCCCGCTAGATTTTCTTCACTACGTGCTGAAAGTGGTCTATCTGGTCGCGTGTTATCCAATAATGAAAAGTGAGTCTCAAACTTACTAATCGTAAAGTGAATTGTATTCGCTTAGCGATCTCCAATCAAATTCCCACCAAAAAAAGTACCTCTAAATGAATCACCGTTTATGTCCGAAGAATTGTAACTTTGGTTACAATTCTTGTCGGTTCTTATTCATTGTTCTGAGGACCTCCTCATTTGTGACTCTCATTTGTTGGTCCATTCTTCATTTATCGAGGTAGCTGTAGTGCGTCAGTCTTTCTACAGGGGATTGGTTGACGTAGAGTTGACCTTCTGTTATCCTTTTCTTGCTAATTATCATAAGCTTTGTCTTCTTAACATTTATATTGAGTCCACATTGTTGACTGTAATACGTGATTTTGTTCATAAGAACTTGTAGGTCTTCTAAGTTGCCCGCAAATACTGTAGGGACATCTGCATATCTGATGTTGTTTAGCTGGTAACCATTTAGTAGAATACCTTTTTCAGTTTCGTGCAAAGCTTCGATAAATATTCTTTCAAAGTACAAATTGAAGATTAGAGGAGACAAAATACAGCCTTGCCTCACTCCACGCATGATTTTCACATAGTCAGTGTGTTCATCTTCAACTCTGAGATTTGCTGTCTGATTCCAGTAAAGATTTCTAATTATTTTCAGATCTTGGTTGTTAATTCCTGCTTCTTTTAGTATTTGCATCATCTTGGCATGCTTTACTCGATAGAATCGTTTGACACTATGTTAACCACAGGAGAATTACACTGATACCTTTAGGGAGCTTTTTTTTAAGCAAAAAACTTATCTTGGCATCACAACATTACTTGACATACACCTTAGCACTTTTCTATCTAACAGACATGTACATTGGTCTAATAACAAGCAAAGGGAAGGTAAAAAATAGTAGATGCTCAAAAAGAAATTAATTAAATAAATGTAATAAAATATCACAATAAACTTATCTAAAAAAAGAAAAAGCTACAAAAAAGATGATGTGGTAGAGTGATATAGGGATAAGGTACGGAAATTATTACTCAAAAAACCCCTCTGTAATGATTTCATAATCAATTTCTTTATACACAAATTGTGACATGAAATGGACAATCAACTTAGTCATTTTTTATATTGTGCTCCTTGTCAGTGACTATTGTGGAAGCATAAGCAGTCTTATGTACCTACATCTAAGCTACAGAAAGCTTTTCTGGAAGATTAATTTTGTATATATATATTTTTAAAATTTCCAGAAAAACTATTGTGTCTTTTAAAATATAAAACATTGTAAACATACCCATTGCAGCAGAGATGACAGGCCAGTGAAACATCACATATCTCAGTCCAGAAAATTGTGCATTAACAGTGAACTTCGCAGAGTAAATTTCTATATGCCGTGATTGAATTTCTAAAAATATATCTGTTACTGGTTCATTCTACAATAAACAAAAAAATATTATATACAACTCTTAGAACTAAGTCAATATTTATAACTATTGAAGGAAAAGTCAATGATTTGCATGACATAAATAGTAAAATGTATGGTTGTATGGAATTGCATTCTGGGAAGGTTTCAAAGTAATTTGGTAACTAGTTACATATGAAAAAGTATTAGTATTAATACTATACCTATTTCAGTTTATACTGTTACCTCTTTCTCTTCATATTCAGCAAACAGCTCAACTGTAATCTTCTGTTTTTCTTCTGCTGAACCAAAAACAAAAAACGGACTAAACAGTAACTTGTACAGAGCATCCAACAAGGTACTTCTATAATGTAACATAGTAGATCTACAAGAACTGTCAACAAGGGATCCATCTTTCCCCATAAATTCCACACACACCATAAACATTCCTACAATATACAGAAAATACTTAAAGATAATAAATAAAAATACACAAGCTTTTTAACTACTAGAAGTAATTAAGCTTACCTAGTTCTCTATTTGCAGGTGATTCTGGCATATCTAGTTCTAAGTGAATTTTATAGGCTTGACCCATCATTAAAAGTTGCTGCTTTTTTGTTAATTGTACATGAGCGGTTGGAAAACTACACATTCCTTTCTTGTCTACTGTACAATCATCTGTTGCACCACATGGTCTAAAACAGCCAACAGAAAATTATAATTTGGGGCTTTGTTTTGGTTAAGAATATATAAAGGAAGTTGTACTTAAAATTTGATCACAGGAACACAATGAAGTTCTCAACCTTTATGTGTTCAGGAAACTCTGAGATTTTAAAATTCCAGACTATCAATAACCACTTCAGGAGCCTGGAAGAGTAAGGGCGAACCGCAAAAAGCAGGTTTCGGGAAAACTGAGTTAAAGTTTACGAACATATTAAAATAGTAAGGGCGAATAGTGGTGCTACGATAGTAATGCGGTCTACCGTCGGGTTTCTACTATAGTATGCGGTGTATGTTTACAGTGAATAAAACGCGTAACACGTAAAAATTAAGAATTATTATGTTAATTGTACGGCTTATTCTCAATCAAAATGGTAAATTGATATGACAAAGTATTAACCTGTAAAATTAAAATAATAATTGGTTTTACCTATGATTTTATTTATCTGTAAAGATGGTATTTGGAGTGTAAACACGTTCTACCTATTAATATGTCGGCCTATCATCATAATCTTTTCTGAGAAGGGTTTGAACACAATAATGAAAGGCATCCTTTGTAGGCAAAATATTTATTGCTAAGTACTAATAAACATTTTATAAACTTTATGATTATGCAAATGACACCGTAATCCCATCCCAGGGTTTTCCAAATCCAAATCCTTCAGGTAGATTAAACCATTGAGGTGTAATGCATACTCTAGTAGCACCGAACAAGTTTTATTTTATTAATAGAAAATAAAAGAGGATTTTGCAAGATTTGCAAGGTTTTTATGAAATAAAATGAAAAAAGGTTTAATATTTTTTATTCTACAAATATAAACATACCTAGTTTTTTAATTGGTTTCTGTGAGAGCTAGTGGTAGTGGAATAAGTGTTTTGCCCGGCACAGTTATCAATAAAAATTTATAACTTGTCGCACTTGCTTGTTAACAAAGTTCTCCAAATAGTGACTGAGAAAACTGGCTATTTCACACGATCCGCGTTTAGCGATGGTTTCATCCCATACATACATTACGGCTGTTCCAGTTTTAACGTTATGGATTCCTAAATTATAAGTCCACATTTTTCTTTTGTAATATTGTACGTTGCAGGTAAGTTTATGCGTATGTAATGCTTGTTGTAAATCAACACATATAACTTCAATATTTGTATCCTGGTTGCTTTCGTAGCTTTTTATTATAAGCTGAGCAGCTTTCTGCTTTGCTAAATGAACCTTCAGTTTCGTATCCAATTCAGTTATTCGGGGAAAATTCGTGTTACTAGTCTTTAACCTATTAATTTCAATTTTAGTGTTAGAGCAGGTACTGCATTCATCAACAGAAGGAGGCTGAACACCTATATTGAATTCATTGACAAAAATATTTCGGTAGTAGGACTCTATCACAAGCTGTTCTTCAGGATATATGTTTCTTAGCCATTCCATATAAGCTCCATATGCCCCAGTAATTCATGAACCCGGTGACATATATTTTCCAAAAGGACTTTGGCTCTGTTACAGTCACTGGAAACAGTAACAAGAGAATGTGATCTCTGATCAATTGCTTTCTATATCCAACCATTTTATTTCCTGGGCATTGCTTCCCTCTGTTGTTACTCAGCACAGTTCCTGTGGTGGTCTGCTTGTCTAAAACAACACGAACTCTTTTTTCATTTATGCCATGGATGCTAATAAAAGCCTGACGACAAACACATTTTCTTTCTCCATTTATTGAAACACTGTACTCTATGGTCCGAAGCTTTCTACTAGCTCTGTCAGTATTTAAAGACTTTTTACAATCACTGAAACTTAACACTGTTGAAAGGTATTGGTTTTGATTATCATAGTTGCCCAGTTGCCAAAAATTATTGAAAATCATATTGATATTGTTAATGCCCAACTTTTCAAAACACGTTTTACGACACTTACATGGTGGTCCGATTGTGCGCGCAGATACAGGTCTGTTTGTATTTCTTGAAATGTACGCTTTACCACAGTTTCATTTTTACAAAAAACAGTACAACTTTAACGCTAATGTAACCTCGGTTTTTCCTTAAAATACGAATAATAAAAACTACAAGCATACGATCGTACAGAAAAACTCAAGAAAAACGCATACATCTGCATACAACGTAAGAATGTCTCACCAACTAAAGCTACAGAAACACCAACAGGGTTATAGAGGAGTAGGGGCGAACCTTGAACGGAAACGCAACGATAGCTTGTGGGTTCGCCTTTCCTCTTCTAGACGATTATGCAGTTCAGTTTCTGACATGAATTGGTTGCTATCTTATTTCCTACAGAATTTTTGGAGTATGAAGGGCGAAACATGGTGTTATAATGATACAGACGTATTCTTTAATAGTATGTGAGCAAAATGAGACTGTTTTTAAAATGATCATTTTTCGAATTCGCCCTTACTCCTCCAAGCTCCTGACTTGCTTTGACCCTTATATCATGTTAAAATTATGGTTTTTCTTCATTGTATAAAATAGACCCAGTGCCTGTATAACTCTTTGGTATCTTCGAAACAGTCACAAGAAAAATATTGGTCATCTGAGGGTTCTTCACCCTATTGGTAAGTTTTTTCAAGATATGCGTTCCCCCATGTGTTCTATTTTGTACTGCCTTCTTATATTTTTACATCATACTCTATCATTTGGATCTTATCACAGCTATTTTCATATGCTAATGATCTGTTTCCAGAAAAGGTCTAGTGAGTTAAAGTTATTTCCTTTCTTAATTTTTCAGTCCACTAATTCTTTTTCTAAATGGGAGCCTCTTCCACTACTTGTTCCAGTTTGTTTATGATCAGGTCTGCTTTGGCCTGATCTAGTTGAGTATTAGACTGACATCTGTTTTAATGCTTTCATGCTTCTGATAATCCTTGTCTGCTGATTAAGGGTTCCTAGGTTTTTAGGGACATTTTGTTGTGAGGATTTAAAGTATTTTCTTAAAATCACTCTTTTAATACTTTAGTTTTACAAGTTCCTCCACTTTGATTTTGTGTGGATTTTGTTTGGTCTACATACTAGCAGCTATTTTTGCCTCTTTCCTGGTCTTCAGATAGGTATTTTTCATTAACTCAGACTCTATTTCTTTTGGGATACCATCTGGTTCAACATTTGAGACATACTTAATTTGTGACCTTTCCCTAACCATTCTCGTTACATTTTTGTTTCTAAACTTAAAGGAGTAATTTATTTCCGAGGCCTCTTCTGAGCCATATATTTCCACGCATCTTTGGTTGAATGAGTTGGGACAAAATACTATCAAATAAGGCCATGCTAAGGCTATAACCTTCTAGAATTTGCCAGCTTTCTAGGCATCACTTGGCACAGTACTTTTTGCTCTGTATCATGCATTCCTGGGGTCTATTGTGATATACCTTAGAATTAAAGAACATGTTTTCTCTTGGTTGAAGTTTGGTTTAAATTGGTAAAACAAACAATACAAAAATCTATTTGATTAAACATAAAAGATAAACGTAAAATAACTATAATTGTAAAGAAGCAAGTCTACATGTAATCGTAATGAAGAACAGACACTAAAAATTACTCAAATGCTTAGAAACAACAAACAAAACACAGAAAGCAAAAGAACCATATAAAACTCACTAATCACACTGCAACATTACCTTTAATATCAATGTAGGCACAGACAAAACTTCATGAAGAAATAATTCCAGATCAAGGTCTTTGAAACCTGAAATCCATTATACACTATTATACCAGATTACTTGAATATCTAGACCAATACAGAAAGTCGATTGTTTAGTTCTTTAAAATAGGAAATGGTTGCTGAAAAGACAGAATACATACTAGATATGTTTACGAAGGATCTAACAAACCACAAAATAAAACTGAATGAATGAGAAAAAATGTGCTGAAATATTTTCATTGTTAAAAGAAGCCAAGTAGATATATGCTAATGTATCACAAACAAGTGTGGTAAATTAAATATCATCTATAGATATTACAAAACTTTTGTCCTAAGAGTTACATGAATATATTTCCTTGCAGTTACTTGAGAAGAGAACATTAGAGAAGCTTAAAGTTATTTTGTCACAAGCGATCTAATTTAAATTAGATACTTACTTGAACTTTAGATGCACTGGCCTCTCATGGGATATTGTAGGTACATATACATAATAGAATGCTATGTACATAAATATAGACAACCACACTAGAAAGGCTGTTATTAAAGCTATAACTGTGCCCCGAAATAATACTTCCCTTATGTTATTTACACCTGCTTTGGTTCGAGATTTGTATAAGTTTATTGTGTCGTGTATGAATTTCACAATGGGTAGCTTAAATTTTTGACGTACATATTCTTTGGGTCCTAAACGCAACACAGTTCCGACTGAAGTAAATAAAGCAGCCATTGTACAATAATAACTACGACACTATCACAGAAAGACTGATAAAAAATTTAAACTATAGATGATCTTAATGTAAAATTATTTGTTTTGAATATACGAAACTTCACTTTTGAACTTTGACATTGACAATTTTATTATGTCACTGTTGAATATGCAACCAACATATCAAACGAAAGTTAGTTTATTTTTTGTGATAGCTTATTAAATGTAGGGGAAATGTACCTATGATGGTCCCCTTAAGAAAATAGCTTCATAATAATTTTAATTATTTACTTAGCAGACTTTAAATATGACCACATAACGTCTCGTTATTTGTACAATATGGCAAATGTTTCAAATTTTGCAGAAAAAGTGATGTTGAAAATTTATTCATAATTTACTAAAATCCTGTTAAGGGTCCATCATGGGCATATATGCGCTCATGATGGACCCTTTGGTACGCCCATGATGGACTCGTTGCATTTGGTGTAAAATAATTAAATACCAAATTATTTTATTAGATCAAAAGACATTACAAACGATAAAAAATATTACACATGGTATTTTTAAGAATAAAAAAATTACGCACACAATTCACACACAAATTGTTTATGTCGAGGATTTACATCTGCACATTCAGTGTGACACCAATTCTTACACACTTGACAACGAATCCATTTTTCATTGGATCGTGAATGCGAAAATAGTTCATTACAGTATATGCAAGCTGCATCGTCCGAGTCGCCTTCTACAAAAGAGCATTCACAATCGTCTTCAGAACCACTTGTAGCTGAAACACGAACTTGCCTTTTCACTTTTCTGGCGTCTTGTTTCCTTTTTTTTTTGCTTCTTTGTCTGCAATTTTTTGTTTTATATCTTCAATTTCTGGCGTTGAATTTAAATATCCTGTTTTACCCCGTTTTCTGCATTACTTGAGATACTCCAGCTAAAGGAGGAGGACAAATATCTTCTACCGAGATGTTTAGAACTGACGATGATGTTGATTTCTGTTCAGTGGGGCTTTTTGATAAACTTTCAATCGAAGAAACATTTTGGCTCCAATGTTCCGGTGGTGACTTCTGGTCAGAACATTCTGGCAGTGGGTTTTGTTCAGAATTTTCTCTATCTGTTGTTATAGACGGCAAAAATTGCCAATCCTCGAAGACATCTGGATTGAATGGTTGTATTCCTGTATTTTTAAATGCATTGATTGCATTTGATGGTAAAGCACTTTTTAAATACGCTCTATTAAAGAGACTGGCTACTTTAAATTGGGTCACCGTTTTACATAGATTCTGTCGCAGCCATAATTGAATTTCTTGGCCGTAGTAAATTTGAAGTGGTCTAAAAAATCCTACGTCCAAGGGTTGAACGTGATGAGAACAGTGAGCAGGAAAAAAAAACATAATAATACCGTTTTCCTTTGCAAACTGGAGAGCTTCAAAACTTTTGTGACTACCATGGCCATCGAGTAACAACAAAACTTTGTTGGTTTTAGAAGCCTTTGTATACCTTAAAAAATGTTGCAGCCACAAATAGAAAATATCGGAAGTCATCCATCCTTTTTCTTGAGCGAAGACTATACTTCCAGTAGGTGCATCGATCATAAGTTCTTCTTTCTTTCTCTGACGAGGAAAAATCAAAGCAGGAGGAACATATGTTTCAATTGCATTCATTGCACATACGACCGTAACATGTAGACCGCGCTCTGCACTACTTAAAGCACCAACTTGTTTGCGACCTTTACTAGCATAAATTTTCTGCGATTTATTTTGCACTGTTGTCAAACCGGACTCGTCCATATTATAAATGTTTTCCGGTGGAAAGTGAAACTCGTCTAATATATTTGCTAATGCAGTAAAATAGCCACATATATTTGGTTTATTAAAAGCTTGAGCCCTTGCCAACGAAGTATTTTCTGGAGTGCGTAATGATATTCGAGGATTTCGCTTTAAAAAGCCTCTGACCCATTTCCAGCCTGCCATCCTGGTTTCCTTATTAAAATTGTGGTTAATATTGTTTCTTTCAGTTACTTCGTATACAAGTTTTCGCAAATCTTTACTAGTCAGGCCAAAAAAACGAGTTTCCATAGTAATAATATGGTCATCAACTTCCTGTTCAATAGTAGTGGAGAATATTGGTCTTCGTCCTCCCAAATCACCTTTGATACTTCCTTGATGCTTAATAAAGCGCCTTTTCAAAGTCGTTTTTGGAATGTTAAATGTTTTTGCTGCCAGCTTAAACCCCATAGTTTTTTCTTGTATGCTTTTTAAAGCTTGTTGCATATTACTCTCGTTCCACTGTTGCCTTTTTTGTAGAGCCATCCCTGTAAAACATATTCTGTTAATCATTAAGTAACAAAAACTGAAGGGTCCAAATTTATTTTTTTTTTCCTATGATGGACCCCTAGTCCGTCATAGGTAACGACACAGGGGTCCATCATAGGCAAATAGACAAGGCAGCAAATTTAATTCTGTTACTTTTGTTTTGACCATTTTAACCTAAAACAAAGTATAGTATTTGACAAAGAAAGTGTAGTCATTTTATACAAAACAAAAGCAACACTTAGCTTAACGTATGTTACCAGTAAAATGCTACTTACCAAAAAAATTTATTAGATCAGCAACCCCAAATTTTAATTTTATTTCACAAATTTACTGTTATAACAGCCACGTGTCTGAAACTTTGCAAATACTAAACTGCAAACTTTAGCATAAAAAAAAGATCAGCATAGAATAATATATTTCATATTAATAACTCTAATGATCTTCGCAATTCTATTAGCAATTAGCTTCTTAAGAATTACAACTAATGTTGATTTAAACAAATCCATATTTCTTCAGTTTTTTATCAATCTTCTCATATTAAAAAGTTAGGTTTTTGTTTTGTTAATTTAAATTTAAATTTAAAATCTGCTATTAGAGGGAATGTGATTTAAACCAATATTCGTGTATGTTGCTACTATAGTTATATTAATTACTATTTAACTGGGAATAAGCCACAATTAAAGATAAAAAATACGTTTATTGACGTTTCAATTTCCACTTCGGAAATAGCTTCAGAACAATATAATTATATTGTTCTGTAATCCCTTTTTATTAATATATGATTTGATTGCTTAAAATGTGGTTAGAGTTATCTCTTAGATATTTTCAGGTATAAATACTCTCCTTGGAGCTAGTTGATATCTCTTTTCGATTTCTTTACATCTTCCAGTACTTCTTTAAATTCATTTTTCCAAAATTGTGTGCTCCAAAAATGCACGCTTGCACTTAGTTTCGTTCTTTTGTCATTGAACTTAACACATTTCTCAAACGGAAGCCATCATTGGCGATTCGAAAGGCCCAAGGAGTGTCTATGGAATGCGCGGATTGCATGATAAAGGAAGAAGTGAATGATTATTTCAATTTGTTAAAAAAGACGTTAGAATCGTTAAAACTCTTGAACAAACCCGGAAATATTTACAATGTAGATGAGTCAGGTTTTCAATTGAACAACCCTCCGCAATAAGTTAGCGGACAGTGACAGTTGTTTTCTGTTGTAATGCAGAGAGGATTTTACCTCCCTACGTAGTGTTCCATGGTGTATACAAACAACAAGTCTGGCTCGATAATATACCTAACGGTTCTGAAGTGGCCATGGGTGGAAAATCAGCCTACATAAATGAAGACCTCCTACAATTTGTGTCACCAATACCAAAATGTGATGCTCCTAACGTAGCGAAAAAGAAACAGCATGTTTTGACAACACCTGATAATATTTAAGAAGGCCAAAAGAGTAATCAAAATTGCAAAGCAGGGGAAGACATTCAAGCTTCAAAAGCCAGCAAAAAGAAGATCTTATTAGAAGAAGAATGGCCATCATCATCTGGAGGCGAGAGGGACGAAAAATCCTCCGATGATGAAATTGTAGATGGGGAAGATTTGCTCCAATGTGTAGAAAGTGTTAACGTAGACGACTACGTATTGGTTGAGTTTCCAAGAAAGAGCAAGAAATTATTATGTGGGCGTAGTCATTAGCATCAATAATGATGGCGTGGAAGTTAACTTTATAAAGAAAGGAAAGGTTCAGTTCGTCTTTCCATTCGCTGAAGACACCGGCATTGTCAAAGTGGAACAAATTAAGAAAATACTGCCAAAACTTAATGTTCTTCGTGGACACTTCAATTTTGTTGTCAAATTCCCTAACACCATTTCTTTTTTGGTTTTTTTAAATTATAGTACCTAATTCTTATTGTAGGATTTAGCTGTGAGTACCTGATAGTACTAGGTGTCATAAACACTAATCAACATGTTATTATTGTTCGGTGGTATGACCGTTTGAGATCTGCCAAAAACCAATAAGATTTCAAGTTATTTTTCAATCTATATTTTCTTCTTGGGGATATAAAATAAAACACTCAAAGAAAATACAATGTATATAATGTGCTATTGACAGTACTTTACAATGAGATGTAAGCGTATTAAAGGTTATTCCACTCTATTGAAGATGAATTAAATGTTCGTGCGTGTATGCCAAATGTACATCTTTTAAGTATCTTTAATGACATTTCTTATAACTAGATATGCTATATCGAATACGCCTCTAAAGGATATTAAGCAATTAATAAAATTTTTGAAAATCATAGTAATCATCTAGCTTAAATTGCGCCTAGTAGTTAGACAACTCTTTATACAAGACATGCTTTATACATAAATTAAAATCATAATATGGAAAGTGTAACTGGACTTAAATATTTAATTATCTGCATATGAATATAACGTTTCTTTATATTGAAATAAATGTACACTTAAACCTTTTATCATTAAAAGTTTGTCTGGCAGTCATTTTAAGCTAGATTTTTTACAGGAAACATTATTTTTTTTTTATATACAACTATGATCTACTTCGAATACTATATCTTAATTTATTTCACTTGATATAGTTATCTTTTTTAAAGCAATAGTCAAAGCATCTTAGTTTGGAAGAAGGCACAGAATTATTTTTTCATCTTACATTATAGGTAATTATGTACATATTAGTTTCTATAGATATTTATATATTATTATTATTTATCTACATACTAATTTGACTTGAAAATATATTATGCGCACGTGCAATTAAATTTGGTCAAATATTATATCTAAATATTTT